CCTCCCTTCCCCTCCCTCCCCTACTCCTCTCCTTTCTGCTATTCTTCTCTCCCCTATGTGCCCTTTCCCCCTTGATGCTTCCCTGGACCCTCTTGTCACCTTCCTACTTTCTGCTCTCACCCCAGACTGCCCCTTCCTCCTTTACCTGGGCTCTGTCTCTTTGCCCCCATCCCCAACCTCGTCTACAGGATCTCATTCTCTATATCTGACTCTGCATTTGTCTCTTCTTGTCTCTGTCTCACAACTCTCTGTGGATCTCTGTCCAACAGAAAGCCTCTTTCTGTCTGTCTCCATCTCACTGTGTCTCTCTGTGTGTCTCCTGAGGTTTCTCTGTTCCTGTCACATTTTTGCAGTCTCTGTCCATGTCTCCACATTTCTCTGTCTCACTTTGACTCTCTGGGTCTCGAGGTCTTTCTTTCTCTCACCATCTCTATATTTCTTTTAGTCTCTTTTTATGTCTTGACATCTGTGTCTCTGCACATTTCTTTCTGTCTCTGTTTCTTAGGTTCTCTCTCAGAATCCCTATGTATATATCTCTGTGTTTCTGTCTACATCTACTTGTTTGACTCTGTCTCCTTGTTTGACACTCTCTGTTTGCCTTTTTCTCTGTCTCAGTCTCAGTCTCTGTATCTTTTTGGTCTCTGTCAGTGTCTGTCTTTCTGGCTTTGCATCTCTCTTTTTCTGTCTCTCTTTCTCTGTCTCTTTCAATGGCTCCTTCTTAATCTCTGTTTCTGTAGGTCTATCTCTCTTACCTCTGTGTGTGTCTGCCTCTGTCTCTCTGTCTTCCTCTCTCTGTATCTCTGCAACACTGCCTTGCATCTTCATCTGTCTCTCTTTGCATGTAGCTTTCTCTTATCTTTGATTTGTGCATACCTATCTCTCTTATTTCTGTCTCTCTCTTTGTGAATTAGTCTCTTTCTCTCCCCATATATATATTTTTTTCACTATCTCCCTGAATCTATGTGTCTAGTTTTCTGTGGCTGTCTTTCTGACTCTGCATCTCTCTGCATGGACCTTTCTCCTTATCTCTTTGTCCCTGGGTGTCTCTGTGGTTCTTGGTGACCCTTTGTGTCCCCATCTGCTCCCCCCTCCCTCTTCTCCTCCTCTCTGTCCCTGTGTCTCTATGTTTCTGTGTGTCTCTGGACATTTCTCTCCCTCTAGGAATCTCTCTGCCTCCATGTCCCCTATACTTCCTGCTCTCTCCCTTCTCCTTTTCCTCTTTGTCTCTGGGTGTCTCTTTGAGTCTCTGGCTTTTAGGGCCTTTCCCTGCCTTTGAGTTCCCTGTGCTCCCCACCCTTCTGTCTCTTTCTCTCTGTGTGTTCCTGTGTCTATTAGTTTCTAAGTGCATCTATGTCTCTCTGTGTCTCTGAGCTTCTCTCTGTCTCTATGAGTCTTTCTCTTCCTCTGCATCTTCTGTGCTCCCTGCCCTATCCTCTCTCTTTTTTCTCTCTGTCTCTGGGTGTCTCTTTGTCTCTGAGTATATCTGGGTGTCTGTGTGTCTCTGGACCTCAGGGTCTCCCCCTCTTTGCTCCCTATCCCTCTCCATTTCCCCTCTGTCTCTTACTGTGTGTTCGTGTGTCTCTGTGTCTCCAAGTATCTCTGGGTCTCTGTGGCTCTCAAGGATTCTCCTTGTCTCGGTGTCCTCTTCTAGTCCTACCCTTCTATGTCTGTGTCTCTGTTTCTGCATATCTCTGCATCTCTCTATCTCTGTGTCTCTCTGTGTCTCTGTGGGTCTCGGGCCTCTCCCTGCCTCCGTGTCCCCTGCGCTCCCCGCCCTCTCCCTCTCCCTCTCTCTCCCCCCTCGCTCTCACACTCGCGCTCTCTCTCTGAGCATCCTTGGGCCCGGGGTTGCCATGGGGACAAGGTGGGAGCCGGGGATGGCGCGCGCCTGGGCTCGCGCCGGCAGCTCAGGCGAGGAGCAGCGGCCAGAGCAGCGCCAGCAGCAGGCAGCGAGCGGGCGCGGGAGCGGGAGCGGGAGCGGGGGTAGCGTTGGCGGCGGCGGCTCCTCCTCGGCCATCCCCTCGGAGCCGTGCAGCTGACGCGCATGGCGAAGACAGCGGCGCCTACCGATGGGAGCAGCGGTAAGGCAAGGCGGTGCGGCGCAGCCGGGCGGGCGGGCGGCGGGCAGCCTCCTCCTCTCCCCAGCTCGCCTGCGCGCCCGCCCGCCTGCCCTCCCTTCTTCCCTCTCCCCTCGCAGCCCCTGCCCGCCCGCCCGCCCGCCCGCGCCGCGCTCGCCCTTCCATTTAAAAATCTTTAAAACTTTGCATATTAATATCTGCGCTTTGCATAATCTGACCCGCGCTTTATTGATTGCAAGAAGCTTAATGCAGCCGGCTCGGCCTATTGCAGAGAGCTCTCCGGGCGGGAGCCGGGCGGGCGCCGCTCGCTCCGCACCGCGCTCCGGCTGCCCGCTGCCGCCGCGGCCCCGGCCCTCTCGCCTCCCTCTCGGCGCCCGGTGCCGGGGCTTTGCCCCCTGGCTGGGTATTTTTATTATTTGGGGATGGGGGGGCGTCAGTTTGCTCTCGGTGGCAGTGAGGGAACCAAAGGAGAGGTGTACATGGGGGTGGGGGGGAGGGATGGGAAGAAATGGGGATGGAGAGGAGGTGTAGAGGGAGAGGAAAAGGGAGAAGGGGCAAGAAGGATGGGGAAAGGAGAGGCGTGGAGCGGGAGGCAGTATAGAGAGGAGAGGCAGTGGACTGAGGACGGAGCTGAAAGGACGGAGGAGCGGAGGAGCAGAGGAGCGGGAGCTGAAGCGGAGGAGAAAGGAGGGAGGCAGGAGCGCAGACTAGAGAAAGAGCCTGACGGCCGCGGAGCTGGGAAAGGAGGCAGGCAGTGGGCGCTTCGCCGCTGCTGTCCCCAGGCCAAAAAATAAAGAAAAGAAAAAGAAAAAAAAATGCCAATAAAAAGACGATGGAATAAAACACATCGCATCTAGGGCCACTGACACAAAAAGGAGCGAGGACAGAGGCGAGGTGGCATCTGCTCCCGGCTGGCTGCGGCGTTTCGGAGAGGTTCCCCGGGCTGGGCGGGACCCCCATTTTGACCCTGCATTTGAGGAAGGGGCGACTGTGGAGAAAATGAGGCGAGAGGGGGTCAGGGCTGGTGGCGGTTCCGCCTGTTTTTTTTTTTTTTCTCTCTCTCTCTCTCTCTCTCTCTCTCTCCTTTTCTGGGGGTGTGGGGGCCGGTTTAGTGTGATGATGGTGAGGATATTGGTCGGTGATGCTGCCTGAAGCTCCGAAGCAAGCAGGGTGCATAGGGGGGAGAGGTAAGGGGGCACAGGGAACGAGAAAGGGCTGGGGGGGTGGGAATGCAGGGTGAGAGAAAGGAACGGGGTGCCTTGGACAGCAGAAAAGGTGAGAAATAGAAAAAAGCAGCCGGGATGGGGCACCTAGAGGCGGTGGCATCTCAGGCAGAAGGAAAGGTGGAAAACAGCTCCAGGGCCCCAGAGTGATGTTGGGGAGCCGCGGTGCACCCCTCAGCTCTCTGGACAAAGTCTGCAACTTGGGAAACCCCTTCGACTGCCTGCTACCTCTTTGCTCTCTTTTCATGTCCTTTCTCGGCTCCTTTATTTCCATCTCCTTAACTGGCTTTTCTTTCTTCCTGTTTTCCAGTTTCTCCCTCTCTTCCTCCTCTCAATAAAGGCACTTTCTCCTTCTTCCTACCCCTTAGTTTTTCTTTTTCTATCTCCCTTATCTCTACTTCCTTCCCTTCTTTTTTTCTCCCTTTTTTCCCTCCCCCTTTTCCCCCTTTCTTTTATTCTTCCTTTTCCTGCCACTCATTTCCCCTGTTGCCGGCCCTTCCTACCCCCTCCCTCAGTTTCATTTATTCATCACTCTGCTGCTCTGGCCTTGAACAAGGTGCCAGGGAAAGGGACTCCATGCAAAGGCAGGAATCCCCAACTTCGTACAGGAGCTTAACCTCTGTTCGGAAACCCCGTGAAATTCTACCTTCTCTTTTCCCCTGGGTGGGGGCTTGGGTCTTTGCCCTGGAGTTCTAGTGCCACCCCTTACTTCCTTGAGGCCTCCTGGAGAAGTCCTGCTGGATGCTCACTGGGGCTTTGGGAGGGGGAGGGGAAGATCTTAAGTGAGGGCTCATGGCTGTGGACTCAGCCCCACTGAGAAGGGTGTGGACAGAAAAGAAAATGACATGGATTCCTAGTGGGAAGTGAAAAGGGGAGAAAATTGGGGCGGAGGTCCATCTAAGAGAGTCCTTAGAGGAGATTTTGAGTCCAGGTAAAAGATCCTGAGAGAAATCCTTTGGCCTGATGACCACTCCCCACATTTTGCCTCCTTCCTGGGGCCTGTGGAGTTGGGGAGTAGGTCCTGGATTTAGAGAAAGACCCAATCAGCCCCTTCACTCAGTAGTTTCTAGTCTCTTGCCATCTTGTCAGGTGGATTTGTTCCTCCACCCCCCAGGATATTAGTGGAGGGTACAGAGTCAGTGTGCAGTAGGGGGCTGGTGTGTACAGAGTCAGACCATGGCGGTAGCGTGCATGTGTACAAGGCCTGCATGCATGGCGAGATGTGTTCAGGAAGGACTATGTATGTTGGGCCTAGAAGCCTTGGCAGAGTGAGGAGCCAAAGGTATAGAATCATGACATGCATTTTCAGTGTGGGGTCGGATACCGGGGGTCCCCATTATGAGTGACATATGTGCATGAGGGAGTCAGTGCATATTTGTACTGATCTCTCCCTTGTCTTGATGTTTTTGTACCATCGATATGTGTGCACTCTGGGTCTGTGCGTGGAAGCCATCCATGCGTGTGCAGATCCGTGTGCCGAGTGTGGCTTCAGCAGTGGACACGTGACACTTTGTATGTGCAGCGTGTTTGGAGTAGAGGCTCTCTGTGTGGGTACTAGGTCTGAACGTAGTGTGTGCGCACAAAGGTGCACATTAAAGAAAGTCACATATGTGAAAGTATCATTTCTGCATGGAGATATTGTTATTGCTTGGGGTCTCTGTGTGTCCTGGGTAAGAGGGAGGGTGGGTTTGTGAAGCAGGGTCTGGGTAGAGTGGTGAGAGATGTGTGAGTGCACAGAGGTCGCAGGTGTATGACTGAGTTTGACAGCATGCTTGTACAGCAACCTTGAAGCTGGGTTCAAGAAAACAAAACAAGAAAAGATCCTCTCTCTCCATAATCTACCAACCCATGAAAACCTTCCCTGGACCTTCTGTAGTAACAAAGCGTCCCATGTCAGGGGGTGACAGGCAGGCCAGGAGTAAAGCCGATCAGGGCCACAGGCAACATCTCCAGTTGCTGATAATGCAATTCCACATCTACTTCCTGATTTATGGGTAATGCTGGTCAGAGGCCCATCTTTGTCTTCGGAGAGGTCCAGACCCCCATTTCCCTGAGGCTGCTGGTGAATCCTGTGGCAGGTTGCAATGCCATCTTTGGGGATCATGGTTGCCCTCACTTTCCTCTGACAGTCTTTGCAGGGAAAATGGAAGGTGTCTGTGTCAGGGCCATGGTCGGGAAAGAACTCAGCCACATGCTGTACACACACATGCCTGTACCCATGCTGTGTGTGTATTAGAGGTTGTTAGCCTACGTCCTAGACAGCATGTTGGCCAGGTTTTTTTTTCCAGCAAGTCCATCAGTGGCCACTCCAGCCATTCCAGTTCATATACACTCCCTTCTTGTATGCAGGGCCCATAGCCCAGAACTTCTTCCTCCACCATGTGACAGCCAAGCAAGGGGCCCAACCTTAGCACCCCATTAGGTAGAGCTTTTCACAGCCCTGGTGCATAATCATAATGTGTAGTGGCATGACTTACAATGAGGGGAGCAGGGGCACATGGCCATACCAGGGGCTACTTGGACATTGATGGGGGCAAGGGAGAAGTTTTCATCTCTGGCATGTGCTGGTTAATTTTTAAGATATTTCAGGATAGAAATGGTTGAGAAACGCAAGTATGAAGAATTGTTAGAAGACAGAGTAGGTGTGAGGTCTCCTCAGACTGTTACCTATTCCTCCTTCTGAATGTATGTCACTAATTTTTCTCTTGGGCTCGATACCTCCTGATCTAATAATAATAATGGCAATGATGTCCCTTACACCCACCCCATTCTTACAGCAGCCCCGATGGTGCCCCTTTCACAGATGAGGATTCTGAGGCCCACATTATTTGCTCAGCCCATCAGCAACCATGCTGATGCTAGAACCAAGGTCCTCCTCATACCGACCTTTGTCTGTCCTTATTGGTCTGCCCTCTCCTATTAGCTGTCCCAGAGCCATTTCCTTTCACTGGCTCTGCCTCTTTCCCCACTTTCTCCCTGCCCCCTGAGATATCCATCCACAGACCTGTCTCCCAGGACCTGTTGGGTGGATGGATGCCTTATGTGGCTGATTGAGGGCTTTAAGGACCTGGGTCTCGCTTTATATCCTGAAGGGAGATCCAGCAAATGAGCATGGTCAAGTTTGTTCTGTCAATGATGGTTTGGGGATGGGCCTGTTCAAAGACAGGGGTTTACATGAGCTTATGGTCTCCCCTACCCATTCTGGTAAGCCCTGTGTGACCTTTTCAAATCTACATGATGGCCTCGGGAAGCAGATGCACTTTCCCTCTCTCAGTCACCACCCCAACTTCATTAGATCCTCGGGACAGGGAGCTTTCTCAGGTCTGACACATTTGGAAGGAGGCTGAAGGTGGTGGCTCCACATACAAGGTCCCTGCACTCAATAGGTATTTATTAAGTAGTGTGAATCACTTAACAAATAAAGTCCAAGAGTTCCCTGAGGTAGTTGGGCCATGGTGGTATGATCACTCCTTACTTGGAAATGATTGCTAGGCACTGACCTTGGGCCGACACAGACCTGGACTCTGAAACAGAACCAACCCCAGCCTTAGACAGGTGAGCACAAAGGGAATTTCCAGGTCATTAGGAATCTGGGGAATGAGGATGGCTTGGGTTTAGACAGAAAGGTAGGTCTTTGGGGATGCTCAGGCATTGAGAAAAGTGGCGTGGTGGGAGGGCATAAAGATGGCCAAGGGAAGTAGGGAGGAAGCAGCCCAGGCTGGAGATAAAGCTCTAAGAGTAGAGGTTGGCACAGTGTTGCAAATCCCTGTCTGTGGAGGCTCAGCTGCTGCTCTGGGAAGTTTGAACTTGATCTGGCTGGCAGCGGGGAGCTATCATGCCTGCAATCACACACACATACACATGTACATGTGCATCTCGTGACAGTGTGCTTTGGACAATACGGACTTGTATGTGAGCATGAGTGTGCTTGTGCCACACACACAAGGACCTTTATTCTGGCATCCATTCAGGGTCTCCCTCACAGAAACCAACAAGGTGGGGGGCGGGCTACATTAGTCCTCACTCTCAGGATCCTATAATGTACAGGGCTGTGGCCCACACATGCAAGCATAAGAGCAGGTTGGGGACCCTCCCCCACCCGGGGTGCAGACTCATGTGGCATTCACAGACTTAATCCACCGCAGTGAGGGCAGGGAGGCAGCATCTGTCACTTTCACAAACACAAGCAGCAGAGTCTGAGAGAGCCACATTCCACTTGCTGACAACTGCTTGAGAAACAGACGCCTGTACTGCACTGCCCCCCATGCCCAAAACAGAGACGGCCCCTCATTACCCCCCACCCCAAGCCCAGGCCAATACACCAAGTCAGTCCTACATTAAAGCGCACACGCATGCACACACACACACACACACGAAGCACAGCCCCTGACATTCTGTCTCCCCATATGCACAACCATATACTCAGGCATTCTGACTTTAAGCACAGCTACTGACGACTTCCTAACCCTTTATTCACACACAGACACACACTCGTCTTGACTTAAAGCACAGCTATAGCCATCCCACCACCCATACACATATACCTTCTAGCGGACTTCCACACATACTCAAACACACAGCCTCACAATCCACCAGAACCACTGTGGCCAGCGGTCATTGAAGAATGACAGCCTGAGCAGTGTGCTGAGGGGAGGGTCGCCCTGAGGCATGGACCAAGGGTCATAGAACAGGGTACATCAGAATCCTTTGAGGAAAAGGTCAGGCCAACCCCAAAAGGGTTCCATTGGTCCGGACGGTTCTGCCAGGTAAGGGAGATTCAACAAATGCAGGCCAGAGGCAGGAGTCGGCTAATGGCCGAGGCCGCCGATGGCCGAGATGGCTGGTCAGCGAGGAGGGGAGGCTCGACAATTGATGTGACTCAGAGCTGGACAAATGATGGCGCATTTGGCTGAAGCTGGCTGGGGGGCCCAAGACTAGAGACCAGGCAGCCATTCTCACCTCTGTAGGGAAAGGGCCACATCAGGCTCTGTTGCAGCAGGGTGGGTTTTCCAGCCTGGCTCCACCGTGTATCCTGCCTGCCATGTGTATCTTGGGGTCTTTGTATGTGTGCATGTTTGTCTGCATATGTGTTCATATATTTATCTGCAGTTGTCAGTGTGTGCCTACCTCCGTAGAACTTTGTGTCTTTGGGACTTTTGGTGTGCATCTATGTGTGTGCCTTTGTGTTTGTGTTTACTTGTGTATATATGTGTACATGCCTACCCACAAAGTGTTCAGGGACATTTCTTGTTAGACTGTGCATTTTTGTGTCCATGTGTGTGTTTGTGTCTATTGAATGTGTAGACATCTTTCTTATTGTGAGACACTATGCACTCTTGAGCATTTGTGTGTGTATATATGTGTGTGTGTGTGTATATATATATATTTTTTTGGTGTTAAGGTGAAGGTTAGGGTAGGGAAGATGTGATGGGTCTGGCTCTGCACTCTATGACATCCATGCATCTGATGGCCCACAAGGCCATCTTTGTGCATCTATTTGAGCCTCTGTCTAGGTGTTGGCGGGCATGGGCTTATGTGCTTGCCTGTTTCAGAGTTTGAATTATCTGTGTGTCCACAGCAGCATCTCCCTATGAGCATGGCTGTGGGTGGAGTGGGCCAGACTACGATGAGAGGGGCATCTCCCTGAATCTCATCAGACCTCTGGAGGGGGTCACACAACCCATGCTGAGCCTGGCTGGGATCCAGCAGCACGGCACACTGCAGACCACCCCTCCTCCTCCTTTTCCCCCCATGACCTTTGAGCACAGCAGCCCCAAATACATATTTATCAGAGGGGCTGTGGGGACCAGCCCCTCCCCCACCACTCCCCTCAGGGCCCAGCCTGCCTGGCTGTGGAGAAATTAACCTTGTGACACAGGAGCTCGTCGACACCCCGGCCCCCTCCCCATCTGCGAGGCACATATGAGCAAGGCTGTGTGTGTGTGTGTGTGTGTGAGAGAGAGAGAGAGAGAGAGAGAGAGAGAGAGAGAAAAGGTACTCATCCAGCCTGGGAAGGCAGCAGCAGATAGGGGAAGAAAGGCAGACAGGTACACATGCACACATGTTTGTATCACCCCTGATACACACACACACACATACACACACACACACACACACACATACACACTCACCCTCACCAAACTAGAGAGGCCACATAAATCTTGAACATACACAGGCAAATACTGAAATACATGTGCATGAAGACAAATGCCATGATCCTGCAAGAGACATACACACAGATTCTGAAACACATGATAGCCATGTGCACCCCTGGGTCCCGAGACCCAGGTACCCATATTTTAGGTCAGAGATTCTCTAAGAAAACTCGTAGATACTAAACCCTGCAGATGCACATAGACATTTGTGTATTTGTCCACAGAGTTGCCAAAATGGACACACCAGGTTGGGAAATAAGGATAAACACATATTCAGACACAGGTATGAAAACCCAGATGTTGGTGCAGGCATGTAGGTGTTGAGACCTCTCAGGGCAAGACAGACACCAACACACCATGCTCCTTGTGTAGAGATTTGTTTTTTAATAGAAAATGTACAAATAGAGATAATAAAACATGGCAGCATCCCAGCCTACATGCCTGTGGGTGCACACAGGCCACATTCCAAGATCCTACAAGGAGGCCACACAGGGTGACTGAAAGGGCTATGCCCTGAGTTATAGCACACAAACACCCCCCCAGGCTAGCTTCATCCCCTTAAAGCAAAACTAAACAGGTAGATGTTCAAGTTTAAAAATGTGAATAGAATTAATTAACTCATCACAAAGGTACTGAGCCCCTATAGGAGTCAGGCCCTGTCTTAGAAGCTGAGGAAATAGTGGTTTACAAGACAGACCTGGGCCTTGCTCTCTAAGAGCTCCAAGCCAACAGGACTGGCACTGATCAGACCTCAGTGTATAGTTAGTTATAAATAGAGATAGCATCTGGGAAGGAGAGGAAAAAGGGGCTACAGGAGGGCATCATGGGAGAAACTGGTTTAGATTGGTGGGCCAGGTGTAACACCTCTGAGGAAGTGACATTTAAGTTTGGCATCAGACACAACGCACAGATTCTAAATGTGTACACGTATCCCTCCTGAAACTCACAGAGGCCGCACAGGCATAAATAATGCAGCACTCAGATGCCCCTACCCTCACCTCACTATGCCATACTTGTCCCACTAGAAAACTCCTTTGGCATGTCCCTAGGTGGGAAATGGTTTCCCTCCACCTGGGGCCCAGGTTCTGGGGACTGGATGAGGTGCACAAAGCATTCTGGGGCAGTGCTGAGTGGGGAGCCCAGGAGGATTCACCAAGGAGGAGACATGGAGAGGGTGATTAGGTGCAGAGAAGAGAGACAGAAGACTTTCTTTTTTTTTTTTTGAGACGGAGTTTCGCTCTTGTTACCCAGGCTGGAATGCAATGGCACAATCTCAGTTCATCGCAACCTCCGCCTCCTGGGTTCAGGCAATTCTCCTGCCTCAGCCTCCTGAGTAGCTGGGATTATAGGCACGCACCACCATGCCCAGCTAATTTTTTGTATTTTTAGTAGAGACGGGGTTTCACCATGTTGACCAGGGTGGTCTCGATCTCTTGACCTCGTGATCCACCCACCTCAGCCTCCCAAAGTGCAGGATTACAGGTGTGAGCCACCGCGCCCGGCCCGACAGAAGACTTTCTAAATGGAGGTGTTAGGCTGGGCAAGGGCACGGATGTACGAACAAGCGTAGACTGTTCCCAACAATCATGTAAGGTCCAGGGTCACGGGACCTTCAGGAGGACTGAGAGGAGACTTTACATGATTGGGAAGGGCTGTGAGGCTTAGGATTTATTCTGGGCATACCACATAACCACAAAGTGGTTTTGAGAAAGGACTAGATAGGGCGTGTGAGCCAGATACCAAGTCTGATCTCTCTGAGTCTTGTGTGGGGGTAGAACAGGATGGGTAGCCCCTGGGGGAAGGGATCCAGTGAGCAGGCCACCAGTCACAAGGCCTTCTGTTCTACCTGTCCAGTCTGGGAACCCTGGACAAGGCCTGGCAAGGGAGGTGCAGACTACCTTTGCCTTGCCCCCAGCCCCATATCTTGGCCACTGCTACGACTTGCCCCCAAATAGAGATTTGCTAGGGGATAGGGGTCAGGGGCTATAGTTCCCCTTAGTTCCTATTGATATTCTGCTGATTTCTGAGCCTCCTGTGGCCAGGCCTGAGCTGCATGCCCAGTCACACAGTTGAGTCAGATCTTTCCGTGTTCCAGAGGAGTCTTCAGTCTGGGGAGGTTGACCCTGACAAAGCCCTGTCAAGGGACTTCAAGGGCTTACTGAGGGCTTCTTGGGCTTGTTCTTGGAGAATGAATGGGTCAGAAGGCTCCATGGGGTATATGGGCAATGGGTGAGGATGGAGCCTGGTTTGTGAAGGTGAGACCAACCTTCTGTGGGGTACACCTGCCACAGAGAGAGCCTGTCATTTTTCCCAAAATTAGCCACTATGACTGGCTAATTTTTTTATTTTTGTAGAGACAGGGTTTCACCATATTGGCCAGGCTGGTCTTGAACTCCCGACCTCAGGTGATCTGCCCGCCTCAACCTCCCAAAGTGCTGGGATTACAGGTGTGAGCCACTGCACCCAGTCAATAGCAGCATCTTGTAAGGCACTCTCTCCCTGCTTTATTTTCCTTCTTAGCTCTTAAATATATTTTCTTGTCTATGGTATCTCTTCCTCCACTAGAAGGTGGATTCCACGATGGCAGGGACTTTGTCTTGTACATAGTTGTATCCGTAGTGTGTAGCACAGTGCCTATAACATGATAAGTGCTCATTGGGTGTTCTTTTAAATGAACTGAAGCCAGATTCCCTGTCACCTACTTGCTCAATATAATGGTGGAGGTAGATGTCTGCTGTGTCAGATAAGGGTAGCGGAGCTCAACTTCAGGGGGGCTGCACCTACCAGTGCTGGAGGGGTACATTGGCAAGTGAGTTCACCTCCTACCTGACCCTCAAAGCACCATCATCATCCTGGGCCTATATGCTCCCATCCTACACCCTCATCTCCCTCACAACACTCCCCTCACTCCAACCAACTCCTGCTTACTCCCATTGTCAGATCTGCTCACCCCCCAACACAGGCTGCTGCCCTTCCCCTCCTTCACCTCCAGCATACACTCTGATGGCCTCCGCCCCCAGACACAAAGGAGGGAAGACCACAGACTGTGGAGTCAGACACACCCGGCTTTGAGTCACATCACTCCTTTTAAGCCTCGAGTTTCCTTGTCGGCAAAATAAGGTTTTTGTGGGGATGAAGAGCAGTGGCACGTGTGATGATGACGCTAATAATAGCTGCTATTTATTGAGTACCTGCCAGGTGTTAAGCATTGTGCGAGGTGCTTTGAACTTTTTTTTGTTGTTCATTTTAAAAAATGGAGGAAAAAAAACCTCTGAGCATGGTATGTCCCCAGAGCATGAGACCTGGTGCCCAGTGCTGTGAATGACAAAAATGAACAGAACCCATCTGCACAGAGCTTACTATTCCAGTGTGTGCACACACATACCCGAAGTGTCACACCAGTCAGGTGATTGGGGGCTTACGCTCCTGTATGTGATGCTTTTCTGTAGAAGCCCAAAGAGATAGTTTGGGGGCCATTGAAGCAGCAACTCTCAGAGATAAGGGGCCATCCCCAGGCATCCTTAATTACCCTTTACCAACCTAATGGGAGCTTTCATTGTTTATATCTGGATTGCAGGGCCCAGCATGAGATCTGGCTTAGAATTGGCCTCAGGGAATGCTTACTGAATGAATGAATGAATGAACAAAGGAATATATTTAGCTGAGTGTCTTCATTGCATTTATTCATTTGCTCAGATTACCAAGACATACATTCTCCCTTCCCCACCCACCACCTTCACTTGCTACTCACAGCATTTGTGGCTGCTGATGGTAATACTATTCATTTCTCCCACTCATTGCCCCTTTTTTGTGTGTCAGGCCTTTTGCTAAGTTCCCTAGAAGCATGGGATTGTTGGCTTCTCGCATCAGCAAAATGAGGCAGCTATTATTATTATTATCTTCATGCTATCTTTGTGCAAACTAAAGCTCAGAGAGGTGAAGTGACTTACCCAGGGCCACACAGTGCGGCAGTGGCTGACCTAGTGTTTACCCACTGTGCTTTTCCGCCCCACAGAAGTGCACATTCTCTCAGTGGTCTGCATGCACACTAGTTCTTGCAGTTTTCCCCCTCCCAGTAGTTGGATGGCACTATGTAGGATGCAGGAGTCCAAAGGCCCAGCTTCTGGTCCCAGCTGTGTCATGACCAGTTGAGCAGCTCTGGGAAAATCCCTTCCCTCCCTCTGGGTCTTGGTTTTCCCTCCAGCAGTTTCTCCTGTCTGTAAGCCCTCAGCCAGTTTCCTGAAGAGGGGACAGGGGACTATATTCGGCTCGGTGCTACCCTACCCACTCTATTGAGAGTAGAAGCCAGAGGAGTGAGCTCTTCTCTATTCAGTGGACTTCAAATTCATTCACATTCTTGAAGGCACTGAACTCTGCTGGGTTTGGACATAAGGGAGGACGGAAGACAAGCCTGGCTGGGAAAGGGAGAGGGGAGCAGAGAAACAGCACTCATTGTGCTTCCACTGAGCACCTAGCCACTGCCTGCCAATTACAGACAAATGGTGTGACGCATGTTCATTGTAGAAATAACAGAAAACACAGAAATTCAGTGAGATGAGAAGAAAATGACTGTTAATAATCTAGTTAAGCGAACAGCAAAAAAGACATTAACTTTTCGGTGTCTATCTTTTTTTTTTTTTGAAATAGCCTGTCACCCAGGCTGGAGTGCAGTAGAGAGATCTTGGCTCACTGCAAACTCTACCTCCCAGGTGCAAGCGACCCTCCCACTTCAGCCTCCCAAATAGCTGAGACTATAAGTATGTGGCACCACCACACCCAGCTAATTTTTGTATTTTTTGTAGAGAGAGTCTTGCTATGTTGCCCAGGCTGGTCTTGAACTCCTGGGCTCAAGGGATCTGCCCACCTCAGCCTCCCAAAGTGCTGGGATTACAGACGTGAACCATTGCGCCTGGACTGTCTGTCCTAGATAGCTTTTTGTCCCCAAAGGGGACTATGCCTATGAATTTATCCAAAGAACTTATTAAAATTTAGATACCTGGGACCCAAACTCAGATTTTTAAATTTTTTTTGACATGGAGTCTCACACTGTCACCTGAGCTAAAGTATGATGGTGTGATCTTGGCTCAGTGCAACCTCTGCCTCCCAGGTCCAGGCGATTCTCCTGCCTCAGCCTCCACCTGCCAACACACCCGGCTAATTTTTTGTATTTTTAGTTGGCCATACTGGTCTCGAACTCCTGACCTTGTGGTCTGCCTGCCTCGGCCTCACAAAGTGCTGGGATTACAGGCGTGAGCCACCACACCTAACTTTTTTTTTTTTTGAGCCAGAGTGTCACTCTGTTGTCCAGGCTAGAGTGCTAGAGTGTAGCGGTACAGTCTCAGCTCACTACAACTTCTGCCTCCCAGGTTCAAGAGATTCTCCTGCTTCAGCCTCCTGAGTAGCTAGGATTACAGGTGCCTGCCACCACACCTGGCTAATTTTTGTATTTTTAGTAGAGATAGGGTTTTACCACGTTGACCAGACTGGTCCAAACTCAGAATTCTGATTTCTGTTCCAAATTTATTTATTTTTGGTGAGGGGAAGCATCTGGATGTGTATTTTGTAAAAATGGGATGATATGCTACATACTTGTTTATAACTTGCCTATTCTTCTTCCTAACAACAGATTAGGAACATGGTTCCCTTGTCAATGATTTTATTTCATGGTATGAGCTGAGAGGAGTGTTAAAAAAAAGAATGTATTTTGGGCATGTTTTTTAGTACTTTACAGTCCTTCTTTGTGTGGGTGCTATACCATCATTTATTATACCAATCCCCACTCATAGGACTTCTAGGCTGTTTTCTGTTTCTCCTGTTATAATTATCCCCTGTTAATAGCTGAAGACATTGAGGCTCGGATGTGAAGCTTCTCTTATATGTAAAAAGCTAAGGCACGGTCAGAGGGGAGCTGGGGATGGCTTGGGTGCTGGCAACAGTCCCTGGCCTGCCTCAGGGAGGGACTGAGGGACTGGGTAGAGGAAGCCCCCAAGATATAAGACATGTGACATGTCGGAGGGGAGGCAGGGGCCCTTGAGGAGGAGACCACCCTTTTCCAGGCGCTAGAACCAGGTGTGATTCCGGCTTAAGCCCTGCCGCCCTCAGGCTTCCCTCTTCCCTTCCACTGCCCCCCTCCCTGAGCCCATTCACTGCCTGCTCCATCCTTGCCAGCTTATCAATAGGTTAAGTGGTCAGGTCAGTGATATTGACCATTTGATTAGGACCTTGTCAGATCAATCCCTGACTCATCTTGTGGGCCTCCTCCCCTGCCCACACACTCCTTCCTGTTCTGCGCCAGGGAGCAGGTGGCCATAGAAGCCTCTGCCCTCCCCACACAGCACCCCAGAACCAGGAACCCCATGGCCCTTTGTGGGTCATTCCTGGTCCTCTGTCTAGGTGCCCAGTTCCAGTACCTTCTCCTTGCATCCAACTATCTTGCTCATAGTCATTAGATCTTGTTTGCTGTATGTCCCCTGCCCCTTGGAGTCTAGTCAGCTAGAGCTGCCCCCACTTGGCTGTATAACCTTGAGCAAGTAACTTTACCTCTCTGAGCCTCCATTTTCCACAGCAGTGTCGTGGGATGACACTCACCAAACAAATGTGAGATGCTGAGAGATCACACCTGCAGAACAGTGGCCCACCCCTGGTGCATGACCAGCAATCAGGAAATGCCAGTACTGATGCGTCTGTGAGTGCCATGTTTCCGTCCATCTGTCCGTCGGTGGGGGTGTATGTGGGCATTCTGTGTCTGTGGGGCCAAGTGTCACCGTCATTCTTAGGTCTGTCCCAATCTGTAGCTTGGGGCCATTCCCTGTGCTGGGCAATGCTTCAGACCCTCAAAGGAGCCAGACCCTGCCCTGCCCTCAAGGAGCTCATAGTCTGCCATGTATGTGGAAAACTGACCCCAGGACACAGCAAACCATTATGTACACCAGCTGCGAGGAGACTTGAGGGGCCAGGACCAAACATTGAGCTTGCTTTCCCTCTGTGAACAGTGGAATCTACCCTTTATGTGGCACAGCTGCAGGAAATGTAAGCTTTGGGGTTGGACACATCAGTTTCAAATCCTGGCTGTCACATCAGTTTCAATTCCTGTGCCTGGTAACCGTAGGCCGGCTGCTGCCCTTCTGTGTTCCTCTGAGTCCCTATCTGTACAATGGGAGAAGATATCTTTTAAATAGTTTCCAGTCTTAAGACACTGCTGGGAATACAGCTCCCAGATCCCATGGACTGTCTCTCTACTTGGAGATGTTGTCTGCTTGGGAGGGGGGTCCTCTCCCCTCTGTTGGAGGGCATATTGGGGTTTGGGAACCTGGGAGGTGGGATGAGAGTTGGAGGTAGATATGCCAGGGGTAGTGCTGCCCATGGGCACCACAGCCCCAGGTAGCAGAGGGCGGGGAGACTGAAGTGTGGGCCCTGCTGGAGGGAAGCCAAGGATAGGGGTGCTGCCTGGGGGAAGACCCCAGCCCTAAGGCGCTGTCTGACTCTGCCCCCCCACCCAGGCCTGGGGATTCCCTTGCCCTCCCCACCATCACTTACACCAATATTGACGGTTAATGCCGTGTCGCCACCGTGTTCAACACTCAGCGCGGCTAATTGTTTTGACTGGGAATCGGCAAGGCGATTAAACGCCATCGATTTTGCCCTGCGCGCTGCATCGATTTTTAAATTTCCTATTGATCCTGGCCCTAAATCTCCTTAACCAAGACCTCACTGTGGAGATGACAGCCGCTGATTAGCTCCAAGGCGGGGGTTGGGGGGAAGCAGCCCCTGAAGGGGGAGCAACCCCAGTTCCTCCCTCCCCCCAGGAACTAGGAGTTCTGGTCCCTTATTGCTCCTGAAGATTAAGGCCCAGAGAGAGAAAGGACAGATGGAGGAGGAAGTGGGGAGACCCCTGGCCCTTTTTACCTCCCTTTTTCTTCTTGTTTGGGCTTTTCCCTGGTCTCTCTGCCCCGGCTTCCTTCATTTCTCTCTGTCCGTGTCTCCCTATCTCTTCTCTTTCTCTGTTTTTCTTTCTCAGTCCATCTTTTTCTTTCTTCGCTTCCTCTTCTTGAACTCCGGTGCCTCCCTTAATTCCTCACTCTCCCTTCCTGCAGGGCTGTGGAGAGGCTCAGCAAACCCTCTTTGTGAATGAGCCTCCTGACCTCTTGCCTACCTCTCTGTTCTCTCCATCTTGGACACAGCAGGTAGAAGGACCTTTCCAAAGGCAAACGGACTGTACCCACCTCCCTCTCCAATGAAGCCCTGGCTGCTCGGACCAGGCACTTGAGGCCCTGCAGGGAGTAGCCCCTGCAATCTGGAAGCCTCGTCCTTCCTCACTTCTCTCATTGAACCCCGGACAGGCAAAGGCCTGGCATTCTTTTTCCTTGCACCTGGTTCTTTCTCTGACTAAAGTTTGTCTTCCAGGTTCAGCCTGGGTGTTGTTTCCTCCTTAAGTCTTCTGTGATCTCACCCAGGATGCCTGCAGCACCCTCTACTTAACCCAGCGTGTTGGCATTGGCTCTTCCTTTTGTCTCCCCAACTTGCCTGTGAGCCCCGTAATAGAGCAGAGACCTTGTCTAATTCGTCTCTGTCCCCTGCCACACTTGATTCAGAGCCAGAGAAACCTCAATATTTGTTAATGAACTAAATGCATAAATGAATGGACAAATGTACAAGTCAGAAATATTATTATGAGTTTTATTTTTATCTCCCACAGCACATAGGTACCTATTAACAAGTAACCCTTTCAAATTTCTTTCTCATTTGATCCTCCTAGCAGTCCTTTAAGATGCACAGTTTAATCAGTTAATTTCTCTATTTACGTATCCATCACTTAGTCATCCATTATGCACTAATTGAGCATCTCAAATTTGCCAGGCCCTCTGCCAAACACAAAAGCTGCAAGACGAGGTCCCTGGACTTTAAGAAGCTTCCAGTCTGATGGGAAAACAGATGTTCTACAATGGCAGGCACCAGTATGCCCATTTATGAGATGGGGACACTGAGGCTCAGAGGCCAGAAATGACCACTGCAGACAACAAGTGGCTGACTGGACCTGAGTCCCAGGCACCTGACTCCACAGTTCGCCAACTGCAGCTCCTGATGATGTGACAGGAAGAGGATTCCTCCACTGGAGGAGTGCATTATCCTGCATGAGGGTGAGATGAATTCTCTGGGATGTTGACTGCAGTCTCCTCTCTCTCCAGGTTCTCGACTGGACCGGGTTGGTGGCCTGAATGTATTAGCTTCGCTGCGTCTGCCCAAGAGGTAAGGACCGTGGCCTCTAGAGTTTTGCTTAATGATGCACCAGGGATCCTGTTTTCTCACAGAAGTCCCTGCTTTCACATCCTTGTCTCTGGCTCACCCAGAGAATTGCTTCCCCTCTCCACTCTGGCCACTCAGAGATTAGTATCTAACTGTTTTCACCCTCCATGGATCCTGTGGCTTTTGTGCCAAACAAGTGGTTCTTGGTGTTTGTGACTGTGGGTGTTTTTGCTGGTGTTAGGACTCAGTAGGAGTGAGATAGGGATAACTTGGTGGCTCAGATCACAGCTTTGGGGTCAAGCACACCTATGTTTAATCTCTTTTCCTGACTTCGAGGGACTTGGGAAAGTTGGAGCCTCCATTTCCTTATCTGTAAATGGGAATACTAATAGAATCCACCTTAAGTGCCATCCTGAGAGCATAAGGAGATAGAGGAAGAAGAGCCAGATGACTGAGTGATCCTGGACATGGCTCAGTTTCCCCATCTGTCAAAGGAGGGTAATTAATAGCATTTACCATGCAGAGGTGGTGTGACAATGAAAGTACTTATTTCTTAAAGTTGTGTAGCTGGAGGAAATGGGAGCTTGAAATATGGCTGGAAGCATTCCCCTGAACAAAGAAGGTTTTATGAATCCCCTCCCTAAAGCCCACTGAGACTCTCAGGTAAAAGTGGTAGTTATCCTGTTGCTTACCTCTGTGGGAAGCAGGGGCTCTGGCCATTTGCCCTGATGTTTGCGCCAGTTGGCTTGATGAGGCCCTGCAATGAACATCTAGGGAGCAGGGTGGATAAGAGTTCTGGGGTGGAACGCTCCCCTACTGCCACCCCTATTCCCACCATCGAAGCTTAACGCAAAGGCCTCAGGACCCCAGGGAGGCCTCTGGGTGCCCTCGTAGGACTCCTACCCAGGTGTCCTTTGCTATACCAGGAATCACAGACTCATTTTAACAAGCAGATGGAAGCTGTAGCCCAGGATTTGCAACCCGGTATTGTAGGGACTGTGATGGACTGGAAAATACATAGGTTGGGGAGCTGCTTTTTAGCTCCACTGACTGTTCTCATACACAGATGCAACCCTGACTTACCAGTTTTTGATTTTTCAAGAGAAGCCAGAAACCCGGACTTGTGTGTGACGTCTTCCAATCTTTAAATGTTGGTGACTAATGCAAAACTTCCAAAATCTCCTTGCGGTCCAAACCACATGTTTCAGGCAACCTTTGGTTAGTTCTGCAACAGTACAGAGCTTCTCCCAGGAAAACATATACCTACGTTTACCCAGTTGTGCTACACTTTGGGATGATCACAGATCCCGTGAAGTTCATTCACGGGCCCCTGTTATCACTGCTGAGGAACATGAGAATATTCATTCCAGGGCATGTCATTTCTCTAGCATGCTTTTCTCCAGGGAACTGGAGTTGCAGCTTTTCCAGAAATCCTCACATCCTCAAAAAGAGGGTCAAGGAGTTTCCAGATTGCAGAATTAGTTTGGGAGCTAGAGACTGGCTTTGAGGAATGCCTGAAATTTGGGCTGAAATGTTTCTGGTTGGGTAGGGTTACAGTCAGGTCTATGATTTTAATTCTTTGCCTTCAAATAGATGTTCATTAAATATCCATGATTTCATGGACATATGGGTGACTGACTTGGTAACACATGTAATCATAATAGGGCTTGTACATTCCACTGAGGAAACTGACATTTATTAGGGGCCACTTTTGTGTGAGGGCCTGTTCTGGGCACTTTGCTTTTTTTTTTTCTGAGACAGAGTCTTGCTCTGTCGCTCAGGCTGGAGTGCAATGTTGCACTCTTGGCTCATTGCAATCTCCACCTCCCGGGTTCATGTAATTCTCCTGCCTCAGCCTTCCAAGTAGCTGGAATTACAGGTTTGTGCCACCATGCCTGGCTAATTTTTGTATTTTTAAGTAGAGACAGGGTTTCACTATGTTGGTCAGGCTGGTCTCTAACCCCTGACCTCGTGATCTGCCTGCCTCAGCCTACCACAGTGCTGGGATTACAGGCGTGAGCCACTGTGCCTGGCTGGCACTTTGCTTTTAATCCTCACTGCAACCCTGTGAAGTAAGTGTTGGCAACTGTTAAAAGAGAAAGAAACTGAGGCACAGAGCATGAAGGCAACTTTCCTGTAGTCACCCAACATGTAAGCAATAGAGTCAGAATTTGGACCTGGGTTTGCCTGAACTTAAAGCTCTCATTATTGTACCTCACCAGAACCCACCATAGTTTTTGGTATCTCCACAGAGTGGCAAATTTTTGCACTTTGGGAATGAATTTGATTTTGGAGACCACTCGAAGTTTGATTTAGCAGTAGATCTGATGAATTTAGCAATGAAGGATTTGGATAATACTGGGGTCACTTGATTTTTCAATAGAAACTGGAGACAATTATACACTAGAGAGATGCTTTGTTGATGGAGTTTGTAAACTGGCCTTGAAGGCTGTTGCCAAAAGTCAGAAGGTTGAAGAAAAAGTTCAGCCTCCTGAGGAGAAATATTTGAAGGAAGCCATAGTCTTTTAGGTGTATAGTTTTTTTTTTTTTTTTTTGAGATGGAGTTTCACTGTTGTTACCCAGACTGGAGTGCAATGGCACGATCTCGGCTCACCGCAACCTCCGCCTTCTGGGTTCAAGCAATTCTCCTGCCTCAGCCTCCCGAGTAGCTGAGGCTACAGGCGCGCACCACCATGCCAAGCTAATTTTTGTATTTTTAGTAGAGACGGGGTTTCTACTAAAAAACCGGCCTGCCTCGACCTCCCAAAGTGCTGGGATTATAGGCGTGAGCCACTGCGCCCGGCCAGGTGTGTAGTTTTGTTGTCAAATAACAACTACAATAAACACCTGCTCTGTCTTTCCTTTATAGTCACACTTGGAAGGTGAGTGTTCCCCCAAACATGTCTGGAGGCCTCCTCAATGCTCTGCATGGGAGCCGGAGCCCCAAGATGAGTGAGAGAACCCCCTCCCAGCTGTGGGGTGGTGGTAGCCTCTGCTGCCCATGCTCCCATGTGACTCCCCTTCCTCTTCTCCCTCTCCTCTTCTGGTCCTTCTTTCAAATTCTCCTCCTACCCATGCCAGGGCCTTCTTTCTACTCTGCGTTGAGTTCACTTCTTTACCTCCTCAGCTCTCCATCTAAGGATCCCCAACTCTGAGGGCCTTTCCTGACCCCTTGGCTGGATGATGCCCCCTTTTCCCTCCTGAGCACTATCACCATATCTGATTATATTCTATATGGTTAGTGTCTGCCCCCAGAAGCTTCATGGCAAGGGGACCTCTCTGTCTAACATGTCTGTCTACACTCAGTCCCTGGCCCAGTGTAAGTGCTCAGCAAGCATGAGTTGAATGAATAAATAAGTGAGCAAACAGACACATAAACCCAGATCCATCCATTTATTCCTTCAGCCAACATTTTCTGGGATTCCTTCTGTGCTAGGCCTTGTACCAACATCTGGAGATGCAGAGAGGTGGGAGATCTGTGTGGCCTTTGAGGGGCTTTCAGGCTGGTGGGGGCTTGGGCACAGATACTATCAACTTGAACCAGGGGCTACAGGGTGCTGGGTTAGGGGAGAGACAGACTTACCGGCCTAGGGGGACCTCAGGAATTCTTTGGGGGTAAGGGGAGAACTCCTGAAAGGTAAGGAGAAGCCGAGGGCTAAGTTACATTTCAGGTGGATGGGAAGGGGTGTGGGCTAAAACTGGACTCTTACTCACTATTGGGGACCATGGATGCTGACCTGGCCTCAGAATCCTCACAGCCAGCTACAGTCCCCTGGGTATCTGGTGCCTTCCAAGTGCCAGGGCAGGAGCAGGGCCATGGTACCACTTTGTATTTCTTTCCCTTCTAATCTTCCATCCTTCTGCAAAAAGACACAATGGCCTTCGATGTGGAGTGGTCCTGGGGTCTCAGAGGTAACTCAGACATAAGCAGCAGGGATGTGCCCCAGGGTGCTCACACACTCCGAGAGAGTCCTGAATGTTTCAGAAGCAGAAGCTTCGGTCTGGGTGAAAGGCTTCCATCCTGGGTCTGTGAGGTGACATGGAAGGAACAGAACCCAGGGCTGCATGAGGAGGATGTTTAGCCTCTGGAGACATTGTCTCATGGGCAAGAGTAGAGGTGTGATGGAGGGCTGCCCTGAGATCAGAGGTTCGGCCCTTCAGGGCAGTCAGGTTCCACAGACAAGCTGGAGAAGCCAGGGAGTGACATCAGGAACTTGTCCACATGCTCCAGGCCTAGTCTGCCTCCTTCTGAATTGCACCTGGAGGGCTTTGGCTAGAGGAATAGGGTGTGTGCTGTTCCATATAGGGCTTGAAGGATGGGCTGGGCTGGGACAGAGCTTCATTGTAGAGGCAGCTCTTGGATACTGGTGGCTATGGCTGTGGGGTGGGACCCATAGGGTGGTCTGTAAATTGCAGCTGTGTGATCTGGGCGGTGGGCAGAGCCACTCTCGCTGAATGTGGAGTCCAGATGTGAGGGGCTGTTCACCATTATGGTTTGCTGGGAGGTGGCAAAAGATTGCTTGATCCTTTTGGCTGCCTGGGCTCTGTCACTGGGTGGGTGGAGATAGCTGTGGACTGGGAATATTTGTCAGCCATGGGGTGGGGATTACAAATGTGTAGAAGGTAAAAATGGCTTGAACTCTGAGCTAGTTTGGGGACCAGTGGGTTCTGGAATCCCTGACAGTCCCATAGCAAATGAAGGTCAAATGCCAACCATCCTAGTAAGCATGGAGCCCCAGGTGCCAAGAGCAGGCATTTGGCTCTAACTTCAAATAGAGAGACATTCTGCAGGGTTCTTCAAAGCACTGGTCAGGACTGGTAGGCAGAGAGAAGGCCTCAGAGAACGACCCTGGATGTTTTCAGCTGCGCTTGTTAGAAATCTTGATGCGCACCCCACTCCCACTCCATGGTGGTTGTGCTCACGATGCCCTGCTGGGTCTCCACTCCTGGGTTTCCTTCCTTTCCTCTTCCTCTCCTTTTGGCTCCAGCCCCAGCATCCTCTT